ACGCAAAGTAGAAAAAGTAGGGTCAAATTGGTAGTTAGACATCCAAACAGGGTCAAATAAGCAATTGCCCTATAAAATAATGTCTAAAGAATGTATTAGGATGGATTCCATATTAAGTTGTGTAATAGAATAAATATTAGGATGGATTCTATATTCATCTAATTATAATATTCATCTAATTATAATATATTGTGTTGTCATTAGCACTTCAAAACAAATTCTACATATCGACTGCAACAAAATTAATAACCAACAAATTTAACATATATATGATTAAAATTTCAATATTCATAATAACAATAATAATACTTGTAATTCGTTGAGGAGTAGATAATCTTAGAAATAGCTATATTTTAAACAAAATAATGTGTTAGAAATTTATATTTTAGGATAGAGTTGGTGCTGATTGACTTACTGATCCATGCTTGCTTTCCTTTTTCACACAGGATGAAAGCACATGCATCTTCACCCGGTCAATCAATTTGAACAAATTTAACAGCGCCCAACTGCTGACTATATACACCAATCACCTCTCGTAGACAGCGGCGCCGCTGGACGAAACGATAGATGATCCAACCAGATAAGCGCTCTGCTGGCTAGACGAGTCGCCGTAGGCCAGATACTTGCATGCATGTATGCCAAAATAATGCAACGGATGAACCTGGTCAGAAGATGCAGTTTTCTGCGATGGGAATCTAGCTATTTTTATCCCTCGAGTTAATATCCTTCTTCTATATAAATCCATGTAAATAAATCTTAAAAAGATTTATAACATTCATAACACATATATCCACACCACGAAAATTTAGGAACGCAAGATATTGAACTTAAATGGTACTCTTTCTGTTTTATCATATTATAAGTCATTTCAATTTCTTCTTAAAAATAGTTTAACCAAATTTATAGATAATTAAGTTTAGCAACATTTTGAAAACCGAATTAATTTCAATAAAACTAATTTTTAATATATTTATTTTATGCTAAAATGGTATATAGTTTTTTTACTAATTAGGTAAAATGTAAAAAAAAAAAACATGACTACGAAAAAATTCAAAGCAACTTGTAATAAAACGAAGGGAGTTGTCATTGCATTATATATCATCCTTTTTTTAAAAAAATATAGCAATTTATATTGGATTAAAAAATACATGAGGCGATATCAATTAGTATAACCCATTCACTCTTCAACGTGGTCAGTGGTCACACAGCTTTAATTAACGAAAGGTAACACTGAGAGGAACGTATTAGACAGAGTCAGCATCGTCATCTTCTCTCTATGTCATATATCTTTAATTAACGACGTCGACGCGATTGACTTAATTTCAGGGTGACCTAAACTAGCTCGTGCCGGCCGGAAGACCACACGCACGCAGACTCGGACGATCGTATATTTTGTTCTTTTTGTCGTCTTCACTACTCGCTAAGAGCCTAAAAGTTGGCATTATTGAACTAATGGTTATTGATATACTATGGCCCTATTTGTTTCGGCTTAAGATTATTGTAATCTAGATTATTAAATCAAATTACTTTAAACTGGATTATAATAAGTTGACATAAAATAAACTACGAGTTGTTTGTTTCTCTGGATTATTAGAGGTATCTAAGGGTAGTGGGTTTTTAGCCACTCAATAATCTGAAAAAAGCTCCTCTAGAGAAGATTATTGGATTATAGTAATCTGGCTTATAGATTATAATAATCTAGCATAATAATCTACTTGTTTGTTTTAACTTACTCCTAATAATCTAAATTATAATAATTCTAAGCTGAATTAAACAGGGCCTATATATAGCATATAAACAAAACTTATAGCTAGCGAATACTAGCAATATAACATGTGTCTCGTGAACATCCTCTACAGTTATTTCTGAATCTTTCGAAATTTGACGACGATAGCTGATATGTGAATGGCGCAGTAGATACTTCCGTAGTGGAAGTTCCATTTCACACCTATAAATATTACGAAATACCAATTTGTCTGCTATAAATACAAAAATTATTTCATGATGTATACATTTGACATCAGCACGTACATGTAGGCAATTATATTTCATATGATTCAGCTATACATGCAATAATTAAATTAAATTGAGAGAATCCATTAATATTCCATTACTATTGATTTTTTTAATATTATATAATATATGCTATAGACTTTTGCTTAACTTCTACGATTTACCATCGCCGTGCGGTTAGCCTTCGATAGTATTGTGCAATTTTGTCCAATTGACCAAAATACCCCATGGACAAAAACTTCCAAAATTTGGATAAAAATTATGAAATATCATATTTTAAGTTTTTGGCCAAATTTTGAATGTTTCCAATCTTATGTTTATAATATGATATTTTGGAATTGTTTTTGTCCAAATCTTAGAATTTTTTGTCCCATGGGTATTTTGGTCAGGTGGAAAAAAATGTACAGTACTAATGGTGGCTAACTAGACGGCGATTATAAATCATAGAAATTAAGCAAAAGTCGATGTCATATTGTAGAAAATGGCAAAAGTGAGTGGTAAATCGTAGACATGTGATAAACTGAATTGCATATAATAGATTCTCTCAATTAAATTACTGATTAAGATTTTTTTATTAATGTGAGAATATATAACTTTTTGCACCTCCTTGAATTAGTGTTACAAATTTAGTAGATCCTTGAATATGTATACAGCATACGAGTTAAACAAACTATTTAGGCCACCTAACAATGTATATATATTTTGAAGATTTAGAAATTCAAAACCAATTTTTATTAAGCAAATGGTTTTTTTAAGTTAATAAATGAGAAATGTGTTCAACAAGACTTATTGAAAAGAAAATACTTAACGAATGAATCATTTAAGTAAGTTGAGAGGAAACAAGAGTATTCTCATTGTTGGTTGGGACTTATGAAGAAAGTTAGGAGTAGATTTTTAGATATGGGTTCCTAGTTAGTTAATAATGGTGAACAACTAAGATTCTAGGAGGTAAGTAGATAGGAAATACTTCTTTTAAGTACAGCTACCCGTATTAGTACTTTATAGTTCGTAGAAGAATCCGGCTGCAAATGTTATGAGTTATGTTCCGTTGAATGTTTATTTCACAAGAGAATTAGTAGACCATAACTCGATGAATTGACATAATTTATGTGTTTTAATTGTGCATATTCGTTTGACAGAAGGAAATGATGTATTTAAATGCAATTTTCATCAAAATCGTCAATTCTCGCTTCGTTCTATGTATTTAGTTCAAATTTTTTTTGGTTATATTGAGAGGAATAATGTTATCTGGAAATTTGAGATGCCTCTAAAGATTCATATTTTTATGTGGTTTATGTTTAAGGAGTAGTGCTAACTAATGATAATTTGGTTAGTAGGAATTGGAAAGGTAGTGTGAGATGTAATTTTTTCATGAAAAATAAGATGATATATATCATTTATTTTGAGATAATCATTTTGCCAGATTTCTCTGGAGATCAGTACAAATCTCTTTTTGTTTATATCTTCATGTAGTAAATCTAATATTTTTGGTAATTGGCCTGTGGGTATTGATAAAAAAACCAAGAAACTTAGTCTAGTAGGAGTATATGTTATATGTAAGGTTCTATGGCTTAGCAGAAATGATATGGTTTTTGACAAATCACCGTCTAAATCTTATATGCAGATATTTTTTAGCGCAACATATTCGCTTCGGTTTTAAGCCCAACTGCAAAGGTGTGATGAGTATATCAAACTTATGCATAACCTAGAGGCAAAGATTATACAGATTCTCGCCAACTACAGATGTAAATTCACAAAGAAGTTTTAGTAACTTTGTTGTCTTTGTCTAGTGTTGGTGGTCATTAGTTTTTGCCTTTTTGGGTGTGCTATTACGGACTTGTTGGTTTATGCTTGCCGTTGAAAGGATTTATGTAATAATTGGCTGCAAATCTTCGAGGAAAGGACAAAATTTCTTTCTATTATTTGAAATAATAGAATATATTGGTTTTATAGGGTTTAATTTTTTTTTCTGCCTGGTTTTATAGGTTAATCTTAGGAGGGGTGGTATGGATGGGACTGGGAGAGGTTGGTCGGTTCGGTTTTTACGAAAGTATTTTACGTTATGCGCGGTGGGTGCGAGGGGGTGGGAGGCCACTGCGTCTACTGGAGATTGATGTTTAAATAACTGTACACCTTGTATTAGTTTAGTTGACACGTTTGCAACTCTAGGTGACAAAGAGTTTAAAACAATCATGATAGCTACAAAAAATTAGGCGACTAATAATAAGTTCGACCATTCAGGATCTAACGTCATGTATTCAGAAACTAAGTGTTACTCTGCTTCGTTACATCACATGTAGCAGTTCGACATATGGTTCAGCACGATGAAATAAAATTAGGTCAAGTGTCAACACAATCCAACAACATAATGTTCTAAATTCTGCCAGTGGCTAGCTATGCATGGCAGGACGACCAAAAACCCTATATATACTCATTTAACTAGCCATGTTCATCAAACATCCCAGCCAAGTTTTGCATAGTTATCATACAAACAGCAAAGCTAGCTAGCTTGATAGGCAAACACATAAAATTCAAACATGGCCAGGAGCATGGCCGTGTCGACGTTGCTGCTACTAGCAGCTGCTTCTCTCCTCAGCCTGCAACTACTCCACCCGCCGCCGGTGGCCTCCGCCGCCGCCGTCCGCGCCAGACCAAAGGTCGGCGGCTACTCCGCCAAAAGCCGGCCATGGGTGTCCAAGCTGGTCGCCGGATTCCTCAAGAAGCAGCTGCGCAACAGGGGCAACAAGCAGCAGCAGCAGCAGCTCGGCGGCGAGGCGGCGTCCGGCGCCGCGCCGCCGCTCGTCATCAACATCACCGTCGGGACACCCGTCGCGCAGACCGTCTCCGGCCTCGTCGACATCACGAGCTATTTCGTGTGGGCGCAGTGCGCGCCGTGCGCCGCCGCCGCCGGGTGCCTCCCGCCGCCGGCGACCGCGTTCCGGCCCAACGGCTCCGCCACGTTCTCGCCGCTCCCCTGCTCCAGCGACATGTGCCTCCCCGTCCTAAGGGAGACGTGCGGCCTCGCCGGCGCGGCGGCCAACGCCACTGCCGGCGCTCGCTGCGACAGCTACAGCTTGACGTACGGCGGGTCGGCGGCGAACACGTCGGGCTACCTCGCCACCGACACGTTCACGTTCGGCGCGACGGCCGTGCCCGGCGTGGTGTTCGGCTGCAGCGACGCCAGCTACGGCGACTTCGCCGGCGCGTCGGGCGTCATCGGCATCGGGAGAGGCAACCTGTCCCTGATCTCGCAGCTCCAGTTCGGCAAGTTCTCGTACCAGCTGCTGGCGCCGGAAGCCACCGACGACGGCAGCGCCGACAGCGTCATCCGGTTCGGCGACGACGCCGTGCCGAAGACGAAGCGCGGCCGGTCGACGCCGCTGCTGTCGAGCACCCTGTACCCGGACTTCTACTACGTCAACCTCACCGGCGTACGCGTCGACGGCAACAGGCTGGACGCCATTCCGGCGGGGACGTTCGACCTGAGGGCCAACGGCACCGGCGGGGTGATCCTCAGCAGCACGACGCCGGTGACGTACCTCGAGCAGGCGGCGTACGACGTCGTGAGGGCGGCGGTGGCGAGCAGGATCGGCCTGCCGGCCGTCAACGGCTCGGCGGCGCTGGAGCTCGACCTGTGCTACAACGCGTCGTCCATGGCGAAGGTGAAGGTGCCGAAGCTGACGCTGGTGTTCGACGGCGGCGCCGACATGGATCTGTCGGCGGCGAACTACTTCTACATCGACAACGACACCGGGCTGGAGTGCCTCACCATGCTGCCATCGCAGGGCGGCTCGGTGCTGGGAACGCTGCTGCAGACGGGCACCAACATGATCTACGACGTCGACGCCGGGCGGCTGACGTTCGAGACTGCACCGGCGGCGGCGGCGGCGGTGTCGCTGATGACGATGATGCTCGTGCCTCTCGTTGCCTCGCTGCTGCTGTTCTAAGCTTGGAATTTCCCAAATTAAGCTAGTGTCATCTTATGTTTGTCCTATCATTAATTTTATGTGATTATACCAATATATCTCTCGTGTGATTGTTTTTTTTTTTCGTATTTGACGTTTTTTCAACCGTCGGATCTGCACCGCGATTAGGCGCGACGAATCAGACACGCACAAAGCGGTCCAGCGCCACACGTCTCACGGGCGACATGGTGGAGGAAACGATCGATAAGCTGATAGTAACACAGTAGACAGTAGCCCGAGTATCTCAGCTTCCAGTCGACAGAAAATCGATCATGCATGGCGCCGCGTGGGGCCATGTTCACCACGGTCTCCGTGCGATATTTTGATTTGCGCGCCCATGTTTTCTCGCTGATGTCGCTTCTCTCTATTTCTTTTATTTCTTTTTCTAGTTACCAAAATTTACAATATATTTGTACTAAAATTACAGTGCACTTACATACCATAACTACTGTTTTTTACAAATGTAATTTTAGTTATAAAGCACTGTAATTTTACTTATAAATGCAATATTTAACACTTCAGATACCTGGACGATTTCTCAAGCAGTGCATTTGTACTAAAACGACAAATATTCTAGTTACCAAATTTTACATTACATTTGTACTAAAATTACAGTGCACTTACATGCCATATCTACTGTTTTTACAACTGTAATTTTAGTTACAAAGCACTGTAATTTTAGCATATTGCAACCTATATTGTATCTGTTTTATTAGTCTGTATTGGCCCGATCTTATTGTTTGTGTACTATTTTTTTCTGTTGGATGCAAATCTGAGGGGATAAAAAATCTGGGTGATTTTTTTTCAAAAATCACACGACAGATGCCTAGACAGGCCCCTCGCGGATTAGTCATGTTTATTGGAAATTAAGTGGTTTTCTCGAGATGTAGACTTCGATTTTGATTTCGATGTATGCATGTTGTCAATCATGAGGACGTGGATTTTCATCCCTCGAGAGAACATTCTCTAGTTGTTTGCATGCCATGTAAATAGTTATTAAAATTTTTTTAAAAAGAATTGACAACATAGATTAATTTGAAATATATCACTACACAAACATGCAAGACCAAATTTAACTTTTATAAGTTGCAACAAAATTTGTTACATCTTGTAGAAGTTAAAATTGAACTTGCATGTTTGTGGAGTGATATATTTCATATTAATCTATATTTTCAATTTTTTTTAAATTTTTTTATGACTATTTAGATGACATGCAGGCACTTTCCCTCACCATGAAGTGTGCAGTACTACCTTCCAATATATAGTTGTTGATTAATTACTCCCTCGATTTTAAATGCATGATGCTTTTCATTTTTTATATTGTTTAACAAGTGGTCTTATTAAAAAAATAGTATGTTGAAACTTTTCATTTGATTTATGCCCTGATTTGAATGACTTGAGTTCATATATATGTTCTCTAAGATCAGTTCGTATTACATAAATCCGACACCAAAGTTTTTTTTAGAAATAAAATAGCTATAAGCCTATAACAAATTTCAGTTTGAAATATAACTTGTATAAAAAGAAATGAAAAAATATTGGGATAAGTGATGCTATCAAATAGTTGGAGTACAATACAGAGCTATGTATGGGCCAATCGCTCATCCAGTTAATGGGCCACACAGGCCGAGAAACACGAAAATAAGCCGGCCGTCGTCACCGGGAAGAGCACGTAATACAACAAGCTGAATTGGGCGAATGGGGTGTCTGCTTCACACTTCACAGTCATTTATGCGTGAAATATAGTCCTGTTGGATATAGTGATCTGATCTTTTTTATGTTTGGTTGGATAGGATAATCTAATTTCTTACTATTTTGGAGGGATATAGAATGGATGAAATAAACGAAAACTTATAATCATCCGAGTTTTTATTTTAAAGATTTAATTGTGGTACAGTCAATTCATAAATTAGATAAACTCCGAATGCAAGTTGCTAATATAAAGGTGATTTGGGACAGAGAACATCGCTATCACTGGAAGGCTAATCATTACCGCTCCAAAGGTGTCAGATTAGTCGCCACCATCACGAAAACGGCATTGATACCACTACGTAATACTACCTCCATCTCATAAAAAGCTAACCTAGAATGGGATTTGATGTTTCCTAGTACAACGAATTTGGGCAAGTCTTCTAGATAAGGGAGAACTAGATTAGACACATACTCTCTCCATCATAAAAAAAAATCCAATCCTAAATTTTAATCTGGACATACTCCCTTCGTCCCACAAAAACAAATCTAGGACCGGATGTGACACATTCTATTATAATGAATCTAGACAGAGATATATCCAGATTCGTAGTACTAGCATATGTCACATCCAGTATTAGATTGTTTTTTTATGGGATGGATGGAGTAGTGTCTATCTAGATTCAAATCTAGAATTGATTTTTTTTTGACAGAGAGAGTAGGTCTATATGTGCCGATTAAACAATTTGTACATATAACACCACATCTGTATCGGTATTTTCACAACAACTGGCACACAATGCCCACCTTGGAGGCTTGGAAGTTCAGGCACAGGCAGGCTATAGCTAGTACTACATCCGGTTTTTTCAATATATGTAATACTACAATGCTCACCATGGACCGGAAGAGCGTTCTGCTGCGGTTGCCGGTTGCTGCTGCCGCCACCGCCACCGGCTGCTGCTGCCGCTTGTGTGGGGACGGCGTGCTGCTGCTGCTGCTGCTGCCGCCGCCGCCGAGAGTTGAGAATGAAGATACTTCATCTGCAGATACATACACCCAAAGTTTTCTGACTTTCTTCTCACTTCAGTCGGCCATGCTGCCTTGAGGATCGATCGATGCAATGGGAGGCAAGAGGATTCATTTTCGCTGGCGCCGCGACCGGAGACTGCCCGACCACCTGCGGCGACGTAGCCATGCCATTCCCGTTCAGCATCGGTGCCGGCTGCTGCCGCTCGCTCGGGTTCGACCTCACCTGCCACTGGAGCAGCGACCCGCCGCGGCAGCTCCTCGGCGACGCCGCTGCGTTCCAGGTGCTCAACGTCCGCCGAAGATGGCACTCTGCGCGGGCGGGCACAGCTCCGCCTCTGTGGCCGATGCTGACGCGGACGGCGCAGACGCGCTCGGCAGGGCCCTCGCCTCCTTGCGCAGACGACGTGCTCGCCGCTGCTGCCGACGCGCTCGGCAGGGCCCTCGCCTCCTTGCACGGACGCCGTGCTCGCCGCCGCCGGCTCGACTTCACTGTTGGAGTAAGAAGATGGGAGAAGGAAAGAAGACGGAAAATGAAGGAATAGATGGAAATGTGACGGTAATGGCACGGTTATAATTTTGTAAAATTCTAGTGGCACGGTTACGAATAGATGAATTGTAATGATATTTTTTAATAGGCAAATTTCCAATGGCATTGATCTAATTAACTCTATATATAACATCGTGATGAGCCATCCTTTCCAATGATTCCTTTTGATGGTCATACTCCGAATCTATAAAAACATTTTCCAAGTCCACAAAAATACCCATAGAAAACATCTCCGTTGTCTTATGTAGTCAATTAAACACGCATCGATCTTACAGTTATTTAATTCAAATTCATTTTGGCAAATGCTAAAAGAGAGATCATGGCTTGGGCATTATTCAGAGCTTTGCCCGCCCTTTGGCTCAAGGAAAAACAAAAACCTAGGGTTGAGAGTCATCACGAATTCATGCCCGATCCAATGGTTCAGATCTCGTCGAGACCTAGCAAAATGCTCTATGCTGAAACAGCGACCGGAGCTGTCACTACCGTAAAAGCTCCCTATCGTGGCGGATTAGCTGTCTGGGTTTTGGGATGTATCAAGCTCCCTGCTAATTAATCGTCGTGCGTGTTTCAGTACACCTTCGGTACGTGTCGGGCTGAGCTCGAAGCAACTAGGAAGTGATCTCGACCTGCTCAAAGCTAGGTAGCTAGGATATCGGCGACCTCAAGTTCAATTACTCAAAGTGAGGGCCTAGCTCCCACATTGGTAGAAGCTCCTCAGCACTATTTTTCCAAGCGATCACTCAAATTACAGGCCATGTAATTAACAATACTAGAATATAAGTGATGTATTTCGCACGACTCAAATTTCAACAATAACAACTCAATGAAAAAAAATGAAATATGTGATCCAAATTTTGGGCCCACAATATATTCGGATTAGTTGTCTAATAGGACTCTGCATTATAGGATGAGAGAATCCATTATATGCCACTGACTTTGTCACAAGTCTACGATTTGCCACTGACTTTGTCACGTTCTACAATATACCATCGACTTTTGCTTAACTTCTACGATTTACCATCGCCGTCCAGTTAGCCTCCGTTAGTACTGTACAAATTTGTCGAAATAACCAAAATACCCCTAGGATAAAAACTTCCAAAATTTGGATAAAATAATCGAAATATCAGATTTCAAGTTTTTGGCTAAAATTTGGATGTTTACGATCTTATGTTTATAATATGATATTTCGATTATTTTATCCAAATTTTGGAAGTTTTTGTCCCATGGGTATTTTGGTAATTTCGACAAATTTGTAAAGTACTAACGGAGGCTAACCGGACGGCGATGGTAAATCGTAGAAGTTAAGCAAAAGTCGATGACATATCGTAGAACGTAATAAAGTCAGTAGTAAATCATAGACGTGTGACAAACTCAGTGGCATGTAATGGATTCTCTCATATAATTTCATTCCAAACCTTCCATTTGATCTAAAAAAAACACGAGAGCTATTATCACGTAATTGAAAACCTATCACTCACAATTAGGAGCTACTGTTCCAATGAATGAAATTAATTAGTCCTCACGGTGATGCAAGCTGGGCTGTATTGGGCTCCTGTCGTGGTTATAGTGGGCCATTCGTGCTTGTGTGGTCTGATTTTCTAGCGTGGGGTGCACATATGGTCACTAAGGGGTATTAATCACTAATTTTTCTTTTGGAACCGGGTGCCTAGGAACCCCTAGTACTACCTAGCTTCGCCCCTGCCTCAACATTGTAGGT